TTGCGATTGGAAGCTCTGAGTGGCACGCAACTGCTAGGGACATTCGTATAGCTTACCATCCGGCGCACGATTTGCTCGTCCCGTCACTTGATATTATGAAAAAAAAATCCGAGCGCACAGGGAGCACGTGAGCATACCGTCAATATAGTGGTAGCTAATCGCCGCAGGTCATTAGGTTTCCTGCTCATGTTGTTGAATGTTATATAGTTGGTATATCCAACACAAGACACGGTGTCCGGTGTCAAGTCCGTTTTCCGTTTTAGTCCGATTTACCTATGCAGGTAAAACGGAACGTGTGTTGGAACACATCTATGCAGTCTAGTGTACATGAGCAAGTAAACCGGAACGTGTGTTGGAACACATCTGTGCAGTTTAGTGTACCTGCGCAAGTGAACCGGAATGTGTGTTGGAACACACCTTTGCAGTTTTGTGTACATGAGTAAGTAAACCGGAACGTGTGTTGAAACACACCTGTGCAATTTAGTGTACCTGCGCAAGTAAACCGGAACGTGTGTTGTATTGGAATACACCTGTGCAGTTTAGTGTATGGCCGCCGCTAGAGTTTCCATACGCTTTCCAAAGGGCTGTGAACCGTCTTCAACCTGCAGATGTTATCACGATGTTTTTCTCCTCCTTACCGTATCCTCACCTTAAGCGTATTACCACTAAATATTCACAAATTTACGTAACTTAGAAATTCATAGGCACAAGCCTTTATAGGGATTCGATCATACGAGTACATATTTTACAACAAAGGAGCAATTACCTTTGCATAATACCGTTTTAGTTAGCGGTTAATTCAGGCTGTTAACCTTTGAAGGATCAAAAACACAGTCGGTAATGTTAATGAGTTGTTAAAGCTCTTAAAAGTTACGTTTTGCAATGTTCATTTTATTAGAAAAAGCAATTAACACTTGGGGGTTTCCGAGAAAGCTTCCTTGCAAGTTTAACGACTTCTTAAAAGATTTATTTGAGGGCTACTTAATTCTTTTAAAAACACCAAATGTTTTGCTTATATTTAATATAAAAATGACAACGCTTGACCATAATTTCGCTGATGTTAATCGCCGATGTGACGGACCATTGTACCTTTTGTTTATTCAATACACGGAAGAAACAAAAAAGTCGTGTCAGGTATCATTAGAAGGAAGACAGTATCCTTACTGCAGAGGACTTGGAACAGAAAAGAATCCTGAATGTATTTATTTACTAACAAACATTGTAATTGTTTGCTTTGGGGCAACGCCGCCGACATCTTTGTCCTGCAGAACATGCGTGCAATGTTGGCCCCAGAGTGCTTAAGAGACATAAGTTTAAAGAAATTAATTAACATTCTTACACTAACGTCACAGTACATTTATGAAAATTTTATTTATGTTAAGAAAAATATTTTTTTATAACGAAAAATAGTGACAGACATAACATTAATACGAGGAATAAAAATGAACTAGCTGTTCTAGACAGTTGTCTTCACAAAGTTTAAAATTCATTTAAGGGGCAATGTATGTGCTTCTATAATAAGATTCCTATTGATATTCAAAATTTGTCATTTACAAGGTTTAAAAGTCTTGTGAAACAAAAACTTTATACTAAAGGTTATTATACAACTTATGCGTACTATCAGTTCCAGAGTTCGTCCAGGTTAGTACTGCCACCTTACCTATTTCTGCCGCCCAGCAGTAATGTCATCATTACTGTGTTCCGGTTTCGAAGCGTAAGGGAGCTGGTGAAATTACAGGCACATGGGATTTGTCTACTTATGTCTCAGGGTAACAGGCGCAGTGGCAGTGCCCCTTAGATCTTTGCAATTTAAAGCTCTGAGTGGCACTGCAACTGTTATGGATAGGCGTGTAGCTTACCGTCACTTGATATTATTAAAAAAATATTGTCCATTTTAAATTTCGTGCAATGGATTCGAATCCGGCCGGATCGAAGGAATTTTTTCTGAGTGTTCGATCTTTGTGTTAATAATTATAATATTATATTTATTTTAAGAATGGACTACTACAGCTTATTGAAATAAAATGTTAAACGTATAAACAATATAAAATAAATATCAAAAAGTCGTTAAATATTTATTAGCATTTAAAAGAAATTCCTTTCCACAATAGAATATTTTCCGCAGACACGTAATAAGTAGCAACACGTGTAGAGAACTACGCAACAGGTGAAAAACACTTTTTAAACTTTTATTTTCCACGTGTCGTACTGCTGCTGTGCTGTCTACAAGATGGATGGTCTATCATTGTGCTATTTCTGTTCTCTTTCCTTTTTTATAAAGACTACACAGAACAGCGAGTGTACATAAAGATTAACTAAGCGAAGATTCGATGTGAAATTTAAAAACATCATAATCATCGTCTACGCCTCTACATTCCTTTGTAGAGACAATCGAGTGGCACTTTGTACAATGAAATATGTTTTCAATATGTTTGTATGTCTGATGTTTGACCGAGCTTTACCTGTTTTTACTAAACGGCTTTAAAAAAGGAGGAGATTCTCAATGCGCTGTTTTCTTTTTGTATGTTTTGCGATGACTTCTACACTTGTGAACCGATTTCGATAATTATTTTTTTGTTTCAAAGAGGCTTCAAGAGCTTTAATAGTGATGCTATTCAAATTTGAACAAAATCTTCAAATCTAAGGGTGGCAAACTGGGTGATGAATCTGGTTTATTGGATTTCCCCCTTTTTCCGTTAACTGATTTCAATAAAACTAAGCAAATATATGTAATTACACAAACATTTGAGGACGGTTTTATTTACTTTTAATTCTTACTGTCAACCTGAGTTTCCACAAATAAATTAAATATGAATGATTTGACACAAGTTGCTATATTTTATTCATCTACAAAAAAACTTTTACAAAAACCTATGTATACCTAGACACTCAAGCTTTTGTTAAAAGGGTTGAATGTCAAGCGGTTTTTTCCCGTCCTTTTACGACAAAGTGACGCTGATTTAACTTCGCTAAAGGGTAGAATAATGAGGCACTTTTCTCTAATTTCCCCTAGGATCTGTTAGTTTCACGACTTTTTGTTCTATGTATTCAATTTAATTTGTATGTATAATATAGGTCTGTTCTTTGCAATATTTGTACGCCTTTCGTTTACGATTGCGCGAAACTTCTCGTTGTTCTTATTGGTGTGATTGCTGCCGACTTGCTTACCAAAAAAATTATCAAAAAGTAAGAATTCCGCCTCGCTAAGGAGCTTTCGGTTGGCCATTTATGAAGCCTCCAGTGTTTAGAAGGCTGCCAGCTATTTCCGACAAGTCTTCCAGCACGCAGCCCCAAGGTGCGTCCCTTGATTAAATTTTCTACCTCTAACTATAGTCTGTCTTTTATGAAGACGGAGTAAAATGACAGGTCATTGAGCAAAAGTGTTGCCCGCTTGCGAGCAGCTAGTGATTGCAGTCGATAAATATTCTATCGACTATCAACTGAATATTGGTCATGCTTATGGAATAAATAGCCGCACTTGTTTCACTTGAATCAACCTCGATCCGGCTGGTCTTGTTAAAATGTAGGTATATTAATAAAAAATAATCTCGATACTAGTAGACCAACTGTCAAAATAAGAATAAAGAAGGCAATAACACAATTAGTAATCATTAGAACGTCGTAACATTCGCAATTCAGTAATTTTTGGCAAAATTTTATTTTCTTTTACAATCCATCGATAAATATCGACAACAACTACTTACACAACTATTTAAAATTTTATGAAAACTGGCAACCCCACAAATGTTATTTCACTCCGCAATCGCGCTGGGCCTTTTGGAGGGAAAAGTGTCGTTTTTATATTGATTTTCAATTACTTTGTGAAATCTAGTTTAAAGTGGAATAGAATAGTGCTATTGTGCCTTAATCGAAGATTAAAACGCGAAATTATACGAATCTCGAACTGAAATACCCGTATCGGCCCGTTCTAAGGAATCCCGAGTCAATCCAAGCACGCCGCCTCAAATTGCCTATCCTCTTTGTGGTGGCCATATTTACAGAAATATAATTAAACGTTTATGTTTTCGGCTGAAGAACTTTGTTTCCATGGCCAGCAATAATTTATAAAAAAAAAAATATTTCACTCCGTCTTCAGAAAAGGCAGACTATAGAAGGTTTAAAGATACAAGATCTATTGTCTGTTTTCAACTATGTCAAGCATATATACTGTATAATTTCCTATATTTAAATGCCATTTAATTATTTATTTTATAATGGCCTTCAAACAGAATAGTGAACTTCAAGGTGGCGTCGCCTACCTTTACAAAAATGTTAGCAGTCCTGATTTAGATATATTCAGTGATAATATCCATTACTTCAAAAGAAAATTAACTAAAAAAATTAATTAATTAAGTTTCTATAGTATTTCTCATGTACCTGTTCTATTGTTATCTAGTTTAATTTATTTATGTATGTTAATTTGTTAAAAATGTTAATTTAGTTTATGATTCTTGTTTTGACATTGGCGTCAACTTTTATAATTGTTGTGTTTACAATGTAGAACACCCAAGTCAAATAAGATAAAAATATATTATGAGACTAATGTTGTGTTGCTAATAAATAAATAAATAAACAAAAACTACCGGCGCCTAGTATTTCTCGGTAGACGAGTGCAGACTTAACATTTTCATTTTATAATAAATATAAAATACGAGAGTTTCAGCGCCCAGTTACACGACACGAAAGTTTACGCCCAGTTACCACACCTTCGTGTACATTAATGGGGAATCTGAATTCTATTTACTAGGCAACAACATTTAAATTCCATTGAATAATACAACCGCGCGGTCGCCACGTAGACCAAAGTCAAGCCAGACTCGCCCGGGATGCTCATTTAAGTTAAAACGTAAAAGTTAAGTTAAATAGAGCGTATTTTGCCATGACAGTTAGACGCACGCGGTCTCTGCGCGGTGGCAACACGGCAGCCGCGCGGCGTGAGCGCGATGAAATTATTCGACAGTGCACCCTTTCCAGCTGATGATTATATTTATTGTTCTCAGTCGCAGCAGCCTCCGAGGCCGAAAACAGCGCGTTTCGTCCGCAGCAGAGCCTGGACCTTCTCCGCCTGCTAATGGAAAAGCCCTGGATCGGCATGGGCCCTCACCATCGCTGGGACCGACCACCGCGTATTGAAGTAGACCCGGATGACCGGAATTATGCGGATGACGTCATCAGGTTAGATCGTTACTACATCTTCGACCGTGGAGAAAGCTAGTAAGCAGTGCTACGATTCGTCAGAAGTAGGAGGTTGTGCGTATGTGAGACCCCAATTCCCAAACCAAAGTGTTTTACTCCGGTGCTCTGTCCGATAACCATCGAAACAATTACCGTCAAATAAGTAATACAGTTAACAAATGGAATTCCCTTCCAGCGCACGTATTTCCTTCTTCTTACGATATCGGGTCCGTCAAATGAGGCGTGAAGAGGCATCTTCTGATGTCCTCTACATGAACGCGACTAAGTGGCAAAATATTTTCTGAGATATAAAAAAACCATAACCCAGTTTTAGAATGTTGAAATTGTTTCATGATATTTCAGCTATGCGCCGTTAGGGTAAGCTCCGATAAGTCGAATACGGTAACTAATTTTAACAATTTTTAGAGGAAAATTTTGTGCTCCATTTTTTCTATTTAAAACGGATATTTGGCCGTTTGTCACTGTAGTTAGTGGACGGCAGTCTTGTAGGTGTCAGGATGGGTGGCTAAGGCAGTGATTGTATCAACACTTCATAGGTGCGTAGGTACCTTCACGTTTGGATTCCACTTTCAATTTAACATCAGGTGGAGTGGAGTCATCTGCCTGTCGTGTAAAAAAAAAAAAAATCGACCATATCAAAAAATAATGTCAAATATGAAGGTTCATTCGCATCATACGTTTTTTAATTCGTTCGAGCATTAATTATTTGACAGTAATTGTTTCGGAAGGAGGAGAACGGGAGTACACCGTTTTATAATAATAATAACGCACACATTCAACATAGTCCCGCACTAAGGAGACCCTGTATCGCGGGTGCCATGGACACACACATAGACAACCACAAATTACACTCGAACTCCCGAGAGAAATAAATGTAGGCAATACAAATATTTCTCCCGGCCCGGGAATGGAACCTGGGACCTCTGTGTTGCAGTGTGGCGTGGTAACCGTTCGAGCGCGGAGGTAGTTAAATTATAATAATAAAGTGACGGGACGAACAAGTCGTGTCCTTGATAGTACGTAAGCTACAGGCCTATCCATAACAGTTGCAGTGCCACTCAGAGCTTTAAATCGCAAAGATCCGAGTGGCACTGCAACTGCGCCCGTAACCCTGAGACATAATTATCCACGGGACCCATCTTCCTGCAATTTCACCAGCACCCTTACCCTTCAAAACCGGAACACAGTAATCAGCTGACACTACTGTTTGGTGGCAGAAATAGGTAAGGTGGCAGTACTTCCCTGGGCGAGCCCTTTCACAAGGAAATTTTTTTTAATATCATGGTGTTTTATTACCATGATTTTTATGTACATTGATACAAAGATCGAAAAAACACAACTGGACTCGAACCAGCGTCTGTTGCCTCACCAAGGCTACCGCTCTTAGAAATTTCTCTATGTGCTTGTTATAGATCTTTGTATGGGGTGTAAACGAATTTCTCGCCGTAGCGCCACCTTGTGAGAAACTTATGAAACTAGTTCTGATTTGAAATATTGTTGCTTAGGAGTGCAAGCGAGAAGCGGTCAGCGGTGGCGACGGCACTGAACGCGGGGCGGCGGCGTCGCCAGCCGGCGCCCGCGCTTGGTAAGGCAGTCACGCCGTATGTCGGCGTCGGTAAGCAGCGCCGAGAATAACAGCCTAGCATGCTCTGTGTGCAAGCGTCTAGCTGACATATCTATTGCATATAAAAAAAAACTCAAATTTGGGTGGCGATTGGTTTTCTTTCAAAACCACGGTTGAAAGTGATAATTATCATTGACATTTATATAATTTATTGAACGGAACAACTGAATGCTACCGCTAGCAATGTCGTGTCACTTGTTTGTATTAGGCACTGTTCTCTCGTTCTCCGTTCCACATCCGTCCGAGACATTTTTTGTTTAATACATTACAAATGAGTAATACTCGATCAAATAAAAAAAAACAAATTACTTCACATTATCTTTTAATTAGGCCGAGTATTATACTCGAGTATTAATATGATACTTATTGACAGTAATTGTTTCGGACGAATGTCGGACAGAGACGTCAAACGTGTCAAACGTGTCATAATGTCAATTTCAAAAAGTCACAAACCAAATCGTTTGCCTAAAGATATTTTTTCGTTTCTGTTTACTTTCTCCCTATTTGTCACTTTTGGTGAAAAATTAAAGCAACTAATTTATTTTTTTAAATTAATATATCGGATAATTATTGGATCACCGTTTGCATCGCTGCTAAAACTCGCCATATGTCTTAGAGGCCGCTTTAATAATAAACGTTTCATGTTGTGTGCGCAACTGGAATAATATTACGCAAGATCTATAACAAACAATTTTACTTACAACGCAGAAATATAATACTATACTAATACAGATACCCAATCTCATACAAAGAATATCACACGCGTAACACTGCTTATTCGGGTGCTTATTTTTATCAATGATGGTAGATAAATTAATAGTAACAAAATTAATTAATCAAAAAGTACACAAATAAATATTTAAAATTCCTAAAATCTTGTTTAAATAGTTTTGCATTATTTTTTCATATTTTATACTTCTTTTTTAGCATAATAAGTATACCTCAAACTTTCGAGATTCAATACGTTATATATTTTTTTATTCAAGTGTCGCCATCTACAGTTTTAAGTATGTACTAAAGTTAATTTGCATGAATTGATACCCCAAGTTTGAACATTTTGCTCGTGACTTCGAGACTAAATTAAATAGCTGAAATATGTACTTATTAAAGCAATAGGTTCATATTATATGCAGACGAAAATCGAGCATTCCATTAGCAATAAATATTGTCTCTTCTTTACGTTCTTGGTTAGATATTAATTTCCGGCCATAAAGTAGCCATTTAACTCAGCACTGTTTGAGGAATTCCTGCAGCTGCTACGCGATTCTTGTATTACATTGCACTTATAGAATAAGCTATTTATTTTACACAATACTTACAATTATAATGACTAAGTAGAAATCTACTAATTTACAATCATTGTGTCACAAGGGCGGTATGTAGATTTAAATGCTTAAATAGCCCGAACATTTGTAATTGCATCCGCCTGTACGGCGTACAATGTTTTTCATCATACATCAAAAGTTCTTTATTCATATCTTAAAAATAATACGAACTAGGTACTTTACACTTTTTTTTTATTATAATATCAAACGATGGTACGAACAAGTCGTGCGCCTGATGGTAAGCTACACGCCTGTTCATAACAGTTGCAGTGCCACTCAAAGCTTTAAATCGCAAAGATCTGAGGGGCACTGCCACTGCATCCGTCGCCCTGAAATATAAGTTGACAAGTCCCATGTGCCTGTAATTTCTTCAGCACCCTTACCCGTCAAAACTGCAACGCAGTAATGCTAACATTCCTGCTTGGCGTAAAGTAATAAGTAAGGTGGCAGTACTAGCCTGGATGGACTCTTTCACAGGAGGATTTTTTTAAAGTTTAGATATAAATGAAATTTTATCTCGCAGGCGTAAAATAGTTATTAACCAATTTCGTTCGTACAATTTTAAAGCCTCTATCCTAAAAATCCATCAATTTTCACATATACATAATTTGTTTCATGCAGTTTGTATTATTTTTATGATTACCTCCCCTACACGTAAAGTGGGGTTTATTTATTTTTTCCATTTGATCCCATGATGTGGGGTGTCTTAAGATAGATCTTTCAAAAATAATGGGGCTCGTTGACACCTTTTTTATCAATTTGCGAAATATTAAACTTTAAAGTGCTAATTTTTTGAGTTAGGTTGGAGTCTAGTGTCCCCAACTTGCCAGCTAAACGGTTGTATTTAGAAACTGAAAAAAATCACGAGAGTAGTATATAAAACGAAATTTAAAGGATAACTATCACAGCTACGTAGGCTTTACAAGTTCATGAGTTATAACTCAATTAACAAAAAGATTAACATAAAAAATTTACGTAGTCAAAAGTCAAAATCGTGGTTTCGTACAAATTTCAATGAAAATTAATTTGATAAAATTATTAGTTATTTAGAACAGATTATTATCATTTCAATTTATGAACCACTAGCTTTCGATCGGCCACTACGGAACCCTATACTAAGTATACTTTGAGTACACGTGACTTTATTATTATACCAAGGCATGCCAAGGTGGTACAAGAAAATATAACTTTGGTGTCCATACAACCAAAATACTTCTTTTTAATACCTACATAATCGGGTATTTGTATAAAATACATATACAAAACATACTAAAACAAAGCAGGGTCATCAAATCAGAATAAATGACGCAAATATTCATAGCAATCACAAGATTGAACGTAAAAAGTTACAACAAAAAACATAGCCAAGTTGTAAACAACGACATCGATGCTGCGATTTCATTTTTACTAGAAAACCTTCAAAGATAAAATGATCGTTTTACAAAGGTTCTCGGGACAAGTTCCAATCAACTGATAGCACCATTGTTTTTTTTGTTTCAATAAAAAGTCTGAAATATGCAATTTGTTTCGATAAGACAGTTCTATAAACGAAAATAACAAAGGGCGAAGAAAGGACGTAAATACCAAACTACATATTTACAAGACGTCTTGTCTATTTATCTAAAACTAACAAAAGAAAAATACACCAATAGTTGGCTGTATGGTTTTAAATGTTGCCCTTTCGTCACATGAACAATAAAATTAACTCATTAAAAAAGCAATAAATCATGATTGAGACAAGCAACATTTGAGTCAAACAAAACAGTACAAGTCCCACAGTGTTTTGTAATTACATTACAAGAATCTTTCGGCTGTTAAAGAAAAAAATAAAAAATTTATTATAATACCTAGAAATTATACAATCATTGTGTCACAAGGGCGATATGTAAACAATTACGAACAGGGAGACTCTCGTTCTGCCGTCTCCGTCTCCGACATTTTTTTTTTTTTTTTTTTTTTTATAATAGTAAGTGACGGGACGAACAGGTCGTGAGCCTGGTGGTAAGCTACACGCATGCCCATAACAGTTGCAGTGCCACCAAGAGCTTTAAATTACAAAGATCTTGGGGGCACTGCCTCTGCGCCCGTCACCCTGAGACATAAGTTGACAAGTCTCATGTGCCTGTAATTTCACCAGCACCCTTACCCTTCACAACCGGAACACAGTAATGTGACCATTACAGCTTGGCGGTAGAAACAGGTAGACATATGTAGACCCCCAGATTGAAATGCTTAAATGGTCCGAAAGTTTGTAATTGCTGTTATGCTCGTAAGGCGTACAATGTTTTTCATCACACTTTTTAATATTAGTTTTATGGCAACGGAATAAATCCCTCAAGCCAAATCTTCGACAATTTCTTCATTTCTTTTTTAAATTATGTATATAAAAGAATTTGTTTTTCGAATTTATTTCTTTAGCAGACATTTTCGTAAAGCATTTAATTCATATATAAGTATACATATATGTACATAAGTCCTCGTCTGTCATTAAATATTGTAATACTGTGACAACTATGTCGTTCGAGGATGACATTAGTGTTATAATTATCTTGTGTAATCATGTAAGTCAATGTGTGTAATGACTTATTTTAACTTGTATTTCTGAGAAGTGGCAAAACCAGGTAGCCAGACCAGTGATGTAAACTGAAAAAAAAAAAAAAATTTTTTTTCAACATTTTTTAAAAAAGCAGCACTCTTGCTTTTTCTAATGTTTTTTTAAAGTAAAATAAATTATCTGAAATTAAATTAGACACTAATTGTGTAAATACTAATTATTTTACATTATGAATACTGTAAATATGAATTTCCAAATTAATGATTCACTTGACCACACTTGACGCTCAACAACAACGAAGAGTTCACTGGACTCAATTATCAAATTAAAGACTAAACAATAATATTAGAATGATTTTTTTATTGGAGAATTTTCGTCTATAGATAAAAACGTTAATGAATGTTAGTTAGAGCAATTTATATATGACAAATAATATTAAAACGGTTTGTTTTATGTTTCTGTTGTTTTTTTTTTCACCTCAGTAAAAACCTTTTATAAAACACTAAGCCAGAGCACAGGCATTGTGCTTCATTTAGATATCAGTCTCCCACAAAATTATGCCTACTAAATATGTTTAATATGTTTTGTACATAAAAATTTTAATGTCATATTATAAATGTAGTAATTTTTAGCGTTATTACCATTGATACTTTATGAATTTATGAACATAAATTCAACATACTATGGTGTTTTATTAGGCTATTGATATTGGTGCTAAGATATTGTATCCTGTCTAATTAATACACGGTGAACAGATAAATGTATTATATTAACTTGTACTCAGGAGTCCTTAACGACATGGGAACCTTCTTCGACTCTCTGCGAGACAACTTAGAGACTCTGGCTTCCCTCTCGCCTGAACAACGGTCTACGCTCTTCCAGGAACCCCCTACTGTTGTGCACGCACCCTCCTCTGGTGAGTAGTTTATTTTAAATGAGTATAAAATCCACAACCTTTTTTACATACATTTTCAATATCTTTAATTTTAGGTGTAATCGACGACAAGTGACAAGAAAAGTGATGTGGGATATTAAAAATGAGAATCTTTAAAAAAATTAGAAAAGTAATTTAAAATTGCATAACTAACTGACTGATTTATGAGGCCATGTAAACGTGTTTATTTTGAATTTTAACTTTTATCATCATTATCATATTCAAACATATGTAACCCTTTAAAAAGTTTACAATCAACTAACTTACAAAGTCCCAAATATTTTAAAATTTTTTTTATTAAAAAATAAGTGCGCATTTGATTACCATCTCACTTGATGGAAAGTGACGATGAAGTCGACAATAGAGCATGCACACCTAAATAATGCCTATTCACTCTCGCCTTGAAAAGGTCCAAATTATAACGTTCAGGGAACAAGTCTGCAGGCAGGGAATTCCACTTCAAAGCCGTTCGCCATATAAATGTGGAAGCGTAACGCTTCGTGCGAATCCTTGGAATATCCACAACATAGTGGGGTGGAACCTTAGCCTACGTCTGGTCTTCCGATGTTGGAAAGGACAAGGCAGATTTCATTCGTGTAATTCTCTCCCACACTCTCCGTGATATATCCTGTAGAATACCGATAAGCAGGCAACTTTACGGCGGTGTTCAACGCTTGGCAGCTTCGCCTCTACTACTACCATAATTAATCCATACATAATTCCGTACAATATTTGACGCGATGATTGTTCTCGTGATAGCAAATAAGTTTTTATGATAACCAGGTTAGGAGCGTAGTTTCACGAGATACACACTTATGTACAAGTTAATAGAAAGTTGTACATGGGTATATATTTCTTGTAATTATGTTTATTTATTTTTTTATTTATTTATTTATTTAATAAGGCTTACCAACTAAATACATACAGGTACGTTACAAAAGAAACCATTATATATATAAAAATACTATGCATGCATTTAAATTAAAGGTATGCACAACATTATACATAAAGGTATTATTTTATCGGCACTAAAGTTTGACAAGATTGAAGAACAATACTACACTGACTATTAAATTGAAATAAATTTGAATGAATTTAAAGCCCCCAAAGAGCTTGTTGTTGACTTAGTTCTTAGTTATGTTCTTAACTTAGTTATCATAAAAACTTTCTTGCTATCCTGAGAACAATCATCGCGTGAAATATTTGGGATTTTTTATACACCCTATATAAAACACGTATGCTTAACAATCGTCTAGAACTGAACATTCTCAGATACGTCATACAATCGTAAAGTTAAATTAGTTCTGCGTGTATAATCGATTCCATGGAAATGTGAAATCGTAATGCAATTTAACTTTTGCTTACCTTTTTCTAGTTTAATAAATCCATAAGGATGAGAATCCCACAGTTATTTATATCTGTTCGCCTTGACATCGAATAAAATTAGTGATGATTACAATAAACCAATGTTGGTCAAAGTGATAATGGACAATAAAAACAACGTCAATTAATTATGTTAGTGGCAGTGGATCTCCTTGTGAAAGAGTTCGTCCAGGGAAACACTGCCACCTTACCTATTTCTGCCGCCAAGCAGTAATGTCAGCATTACTGGCACGGTGTAATTACAGGCACATGAGACTTGTCAACTTATGCATCAGAGTAACGGGCGCAGTGGCAGTGCCCCTCAAATTTTTGCGATTTAAAGCTCTGAGTGGAAATGCAATTGTTATAAACTGGCGTGTAGTTTACCTTAAGGCGCACGACTTGTCCGTCCGTCCTGTCACTTGATATTATAAAAAAAGTCTTGAAATTAAAAGTATTTTTAACCGACTTCAAAAAAAGGAGGAGGTTCTCAATTAGACTGTATGTTTTTTTGTATGTATGTTACGCGATAACTCCGGTATTTGTGAGCCGATTTTCATGATTCTTGTTTTGTTGGAAAGAGAGTACCTCCATAGTGGTCCTATTTCATTTTGAAGAAAATCATCCACCTCTATGGATGGCTGATCACGCATGAACATTCATTTTTGTAAATAGCGCCTAAATTCTATTCAAGGAGCAATTATTTTAATGGTTGGTTTTGCTATTCTCCAATTCAAGGTGTTTTTCTCTCTCAATATAATTTGAGTAGTGAAAACCAATTGTTATTATCTCATGTGTCAAATTCCGTATAGTGGTGAACTAGGGGATATTTCAATAAAACTTGGCAAATAGATCTAATTACACGTATATTGAGGTCGGTTTTTTTAGTACTCTGTACTGAGATTATAATAAGAATTTTTTTAAAAGAAATTGGATGAAATTTTGCGAAATGCCTCAAGTAATAATAATAATAACCCACACGCTCATAGCCCAGCACTAGAGAAACTCTATATCGCGGGCGCCATGGACACACCCATAGACAACCACAAATTACACCGAAACCCACGTGAGAAGTAGATGTAGGCCATACAACTATTTCTCCCGACCCGGGAATCGAACCCGAGACCTCTGCGTGGCAGTCCGTGACGGTACCATACCGTTTGGCCACGGAGGCAGTCACAGTGTCTGAATTGTAAATGTTACGAAGGTCTTATGATTACTAATTGCGTTATTGAATTTAAAGAATAAAAATCTCTAAAATAGTCTTTATTGAAAATTTCATGAAAAGAAAATTACTGTTAATCGAATTTGTTTTATTAATCGTTCGTTAGAACTAAATCTCATCAAAGAGTTGACGAATTTAGACTCTTTGTACACTTATTCTCTTATCTGCAGATGCAAAAAAAATCTATAAAATGTAATTGAAGTTAGCGCCCACCACAATTAAAGCATCTATTCTTATTGAATAAAATTTTATTCAGAATATTTTAAAAAAATCATCGGCGAAGGTGCTGCGATATTTGATAGGTATTCAAAATTTCACCCTCTTTTCACATGCTCGTTGCATGAGTATGGTGGTAAGCTACACGCCCGTCCATAGTAGTTGCAGGGCCACTCAGAGCTTTAAATAGCAACGATTGGGGCACCGTCACTGCTCCCGTCACCCTGAGACATAAGTTGTAAGTAAGTAACAATGCAGTAAGGCTCACATTACCATGTGGTGACATAAATTGGTAAAGTGGCAGTACTTCTCTGGACGAACTCGTTCACAAGGAGCTCTGCCGTATCGTTAATGACAATTACCTGTTTAGGGTTTAGGTCCTATTTTATTTTATTGTATTTTATAATTTATAGATTATTCTATATTATTTAAAGTTACTACCTCAGGTCGAATTCAAATTTTTCCCGTATTGGATCGGTTCTATTGCGCGGGTCGAGCAGTAGGGACACTGGCTATATAATACAGAATTATTTTTTTTACGAACGAAGTTAAAGCCACTTGAAAAATGTATATCGTATGTGTTCTATTCAGTTCAGTTGATATAAAAAAAAATCATTGGTATATTATGTAAACTTACATATATGTACATTTCATCGCTGCACTAGGTTCCTTCGCGTTTGGATACCACTTTCCACTTAACATCAGGTGGAGTGGAATCATTTGCCTGTCATGTATTAAAACAAAAAAAAAAAAAAAAATACAGCGGTTTTATTGTAAAATTTCGAGGTAAGTTTGTGTTTCTTTTCTATCGTGAAAATTTTTGGGAAATGTGTTTTCACACCGTATACTAATCAATGTACATCCTCAATTTTACTATATAGTTTTTTCAAAGGGATTGATTCACGAATCTCACTGTTATGCGAAATCAACCAAAGCCATTTGAGGTTGTATAGATTCTTAATATTTACGTTAATGTATACTCAAAATGTTTTATATCTTGTAATGCCTTAATAACGAATTTAATTATTATTATTCTGCCGTCCACTAACTATAACGCAGTTAAGTGACAAACGGTCAAATATCCGTTTTAAATAGAAAAAGATAGAGCACAATTTAAAAAAAACCAGTTAAAATTAGTTAACGTGTTCGACATATCGAAACTTACCATAACGACGCGTAGCCGAAATATCATTAAACATTTTCAATATTCTAAAACTGGGTTATGGTTTTTATAAATAAATATTTTGTCACTTAACCGCATTTTAGTTAACGGACGGCAGTATTATAATTTGTTTCATGTAACTCGTATTATTTTTACGACATTTAAAGTACTTTTGACTATAGTGTGGCTGTATTTAACCAAAGCTACGAAAACATTGTCCAGTAACCTTTTCGCTAATGAGCCTTTAGTTCTCGTCGTTAAAGCCTTTCGTGATCGAAGCCTGGCTTCAAAGATTAAATTTAGTTATCCAGTCTCCAAGTACGATGCGAGGCCTTGATGAAAATTTTAATTTTTAACTAGAAGAGTTATAATTTCAGTAGAGAGTACTAAAAAAACCGACCTCAAAAGTACGTGGAATTACATATAATTACCACGTTTTATTGAAATCGGTTACCGGGTAGTGCGCAAACCCAGATTCATCCCCTAGTTCGCCACTAAAATATAATAAAAATCGGTTCTCATTTCTCAAAGTATATTGAGAGAGAAAAACGTTTTGAATTGGAGAATAGCAAAATCAACAATTGAAATAATTGCTGCTTATAATAAAATTTAGGCGCTATTAATAAAAATGAAACTTTATGCGTGAACAGCTACCCTTAGAGGAAATCATCCGATTTTCTCCAAAATTAAATGGGACCACAGTGGAGATGCCCTCTTTCCAACAAAAAAAAGGATCATTTAGATTTACATCAATTAGATCTATTTGCCAAGTGTTATTGAAATGTCCCCTAGTTCGCCACTATACGGAACTTGACACAGGAGATAATAAAAATCGGTTTTCACTACTCAAACTATATTGAGAGAGAAAAACGCCTTGAATTGGAGAATAGCAAAACCAACCATTAAAATAATTGCTTCTTGAATAAAATTTAGGCGCTATTTATATAAATGAAAGTTCATGCTCGATTAGCCACCCTTAAAGGTGGATGATTTTCTTCAAAATGGAATGGGACCACCATGGAGGTACCCTCTTTCCAACATAACAAGAATCATGAAAAAAGGTTCACAAATACCGAAATTATCGCGTAACATACATACAAAAAACATAGAG